GCAAAGCCAGTGAACTTACATTTAACTGGTAGCTCGAACAGGTCATTAACATAAATCAAAATTAAAATAGGTCCAAGGACTGAGCCTTGTGGCACACCTGTATCAATGGGTAAAGACGATGACAAGGAATTGTTATTTTTGACCATTTGTGTCCTTCCTGTTAGGTAAGAATTGAAAAATCTTGACGATACTCCTCTAAAGCCATAAAAGTACATTTTGTCCAGAAGCAAGTCATGTCTGACACAATCGAACGCTTTAGAGAAGTCGCAAAATACAGCAGCTGCAACTTCTTTATCATTCAGTTTGAAGTAAAGCTTCTCGAGAAAAGAAAAAATGGCATCATTGGTGCCTTTAGATGATTGAAAACCGTATTGACATTCGCTAATAAAATTATGACGGTTTAAAAAATCAACGATCCTCTCCTTAACAATTTTTTCGATTATCTTAGACAGCGTATTTAAAAGGGAAATCGGTCTGAAATTGGCTGGGTCGGTATGGGAACCTGCCTTATGCAGTGGGATTACCAAAGCCACTTTTAGAAAATCAGGAAATTCTCCAAATAAAAAACATTTGTTTATGGTTAGCGCTAACACATGCAAAACATTGTCATCAAGATTTTGAAATATTTTGACTGGGATTTCATCGATTCCCGCAGGGTTCTTGTTTTTAATATCTGTTATTATAGCTTTTATTTCATACGCATTTGTTTCAGTCAGCAGAAATGGTTCGCCGATATACGCTTGGTGATTAAGATAAGATAGGGGATTTGCTAGGGGTTCCAAATTATCTGAGAGTCTTTTTGCAACTGTACAATAAAATTGATTAAAAGCGTTTACTTCTATTTCAGCAGGTGGCTTGGCAAGGCTGTTTTTTCCCTTAAGCTCGTTCACAATTGCCCATGCTTCTTTTGCGGTATTTTTAGCGTTATTCATCCTATTTTGATAGTGCCAGCGTTTAGCTGTTTTGATCACTTGTCTGTAGATTCGTTTATAATTTTTTAAGTAGTTGTCAAAAGAAGGGGTTTTTGTAAATTTTTTTATATAATTAAGTGATTTTAAATTCTTAGAAGTAGTGATGTGAACAAGGGAACGTTCTGATTGTGCTTTCGAGAACATTCGCGAACGTTCGCACACGAAAAAAAGTTTCGTGCTGAATATTACCTTCGGAGCACAATGAGCACGATAGAGAATATTCAGCACGTTCTCAGGCACGATCCTAACCAATAAAATCACATGACGCCATAAAGTAGAGATATATTTATGGAAGCTGTTGAAGGCGAAGATATATCGAATATTGAGCCCGAGAACCAGGAAGCAACTTAGCAGCAATAGTTATTTTTTTTTGGAGGCAAAGGTAGCGTTGTACTGGAATATACTTAAACTAAAATCACCATTTTATTTTATTATCAAAAAAAAAAGAATCCTAATGATAATTGTATGTTGAAGTTTCACAGAAAACCCCAAATTAGAATAATTATTGTTATCAAACATGACACAAGACACAATTAACAAATTATGTGATTAGTTATTATGATATACAAGAATACTTCAATGAAAGATTTTAACCATGATTTAAGCAAAAAAAGGTGTGCTTATGGATACTTTTTACTGTTCTGTGTGCTGTGTGTTTTTTTTTTTACTATGACGTTAAATTGTAAATGTACTGCTTTATTTTTAAATGTAAGATTTTATATTATTTTATTAACTGTTTACTGTTTGTGTTTCAATTTTATAATTATGTAATTTAATGATTCATATATAGCCAAGGCCTTTGATACAGTTAACTATAATAAACTATTTATGAAGCTAGAGAATTTCGGCATTCGTGGCATGGCTCTCAACTTAGTGAAGAATTACTTGACAAACAGGAAACAAGTGGTGAAATTAGATGAAGTATATAGTGAGGAATTAGTGGTGCAGATCGGTATCCCTCAGGGTACCATCCTAGGCCCGCTTTTTTTCGTTATTTTTGTCAATGACTTATTAAGTTTGGATCCCAATGCCCAATTTATGTCATATGCTGATGACACAGCGATAACAATGAGTGAGGGCACTTGGCTGGGTCTGGAAAATAGAGCGAATAATGTTATTAATAATGTAGCAAACTGGCTTAGAGAAAATGGTTTATCATTAAACATCGAAAAAACTAAATATATTTTATTTAGCACATATAAAGATAAGGCACCTGATAAGTTAAATATTGTGATACATGATGGCTGTAACATAGGGTCTTGTACGGGTAGAGAGTTAGGCAAAGAACAATTTATTAAATATCTTGGAATATTTGTAGACGGTAACATGAATTTTAAAGAACATATTGAACAACTTAAAAAAAATTTGAGATATTTGTTATTCATTTTTGCAAATTTAAGAAACTTCCTTAATGCAAAAACTTTAATATCTATTTATTATGCGCTATTTGAATCAAAAGCAACATATGGAATAATATCATGGGGAAGCGCATATGGTAATGTCATAAACTCTCTCCAATCGATTCAAAATAGAATTGTTAGGCTAATTTTTAAAAAGCCATCGGCACAACTCGATCAATGTTATAAAGAAAACAATCTACTAAAAATAAGACAAATATATTACCTTAAAGCCATTACAACAAATCATTATAAGAACTTGAAATCTGAATATTTACATACAAAACAAATAACTAGAAATAAGAGCATTCCAGTAATGAAAACAAAGCTAGAAGTAGGCAAAAAAAGCACAAAATGGATTGCTATAAAAATATATAACTTACTAGATGATGACCTAAAAAATTATAACTTCTCAACAAAAGCTCTCAAAAATAAGATAAAGTCCTGGATCTGTCAAAGAAATTTAGAAATTAAAATTTTTATATAAATAACCTAATATTATGCCGGCCCTGGTAATTATTACATATTTCCGAAAGGAGTTTCAAACCCGTTAATGTTTTGATTTTTTTGTTTTGTTATTTTTTTTTTTTTTTGAATTATTGTTATATAAGTATAATAAAATATAGGTACAAATAGGTACTTTATTTATATTGTATTATTTAGGTTTGTTGTTAAGTGTAGAGGTGAATTGTGATTTTTTCATGTTCACGCGCCAAGCCTGCAAACAGAACATTTTGTGTTCTCAGCAGGATAGGGTATACCGATTATAACGAACGTGGGTAACATAGGTACTCTAATGTTTTATGTTTACTCTGCTTTGTATTAAGGTTTGTACTGTATTTTGGCATAAATAAATGAATTGAAAAATGAATTGAATTTAGACTACGTAAAAAAGTCATATAAGTACACTTTATTGTATTTTTGATTTTGTAGGTTCTGAATTTATTCATTTATTTTTTTATTTTATTACGTACCTTTTTCAGCTTTGTTTACAACATTACTTTGTTTAAAACAATAAAGCATATTTTGATTTGATTTTGATTTGAATTATGTATTAAGTAGGTATATTTTCTTAAGAAGTTTGAGAACTTTCAGCACATTTATCAAGAATTTTCAGAATATTCAGAACTTTCACGAGAAATTTGGGAATTTCGGGAAATTTGAGAAAAATCAGAATTTATTTAGAAAAATGTTTTGTTTTATTCAGCTTCTGATAAAAAGCATAAATTCTCGGGTCCTGCTCGTTTTTGCTCGTTTATTCTCGTTAATTCTCGATCGTGCTCGGAGAACGTTCTCCTAAAATACTTGCTCGAGCATTTTACATCACTACTTAGAAGCAAGTTTTGTGCCCTTTGTTAGCCATGACTTTTTGTGATTTTTTGCTCTTAACTTGCGTAACGGAAAGCACCTGTCAAAAGTATCATACAACAGATAGTGAAATCTTTCGAGTGGATTTTCAGATTCAGATATACATCCCCAATCAACGGAAGAACAATTAGTTCGAAATGTTTCAAAATTCGCCCCTGAAAAGATTTTTCCATATTTAGATGGTATTTTTATACAGTCCCGAAACAGGCTGAAACTGGCCAGCAATACCTCGTGATCGGAGAGGTTTGGAGTAGCGATTACATTACAGTTAACTTTATCTTGATTTATATTTGTGCAGAAGTAATCAATCAAAGATGCAGATTCTCCAGTTAGATAAACTACATTTCTCAGAGGCATGAAAGAAATTTGAGATCAAGGGATAATTTTGATCTCCCCAGGATCCTGTCTGTACAAGCAGAAAAATCATTATTTGTTAGGAGATTAATTGAATTTAACCAGTTACAGACTGATATCAAAGGCTGTGAACAAATCAATACTTTTAAAAAAAAACTTAGACAATATAGGTATTAGAGATAAGACAGAATAAATTACAGTGTATACTTTTAGTTTTATTTATTTGAGTGGTTTAGAACATTTTTTTTTTGTATTGCCAGTTTTATATTTAATGATTGTGTTTGAAATTGATGTGCAATGTTAATTGATTGTTTTTCTGTGTTTTTTTAAAAAAGAATAGGTAATTTTAAGATGACCTATATGTCACTTCAAGATGTATAATTAGTTATAATAGCTAAATAAACGATTACAACAAGTTTAACTGATTTTGTTTGATACTGAATTGATGAAAGAACACTTGAAGGAACATTATGCTCAGTAAAAAATAAAGCATTGTATGCATGCACCATGGGTATCTTTAGATTATAATGCCCTTCAGGTGAAATATATCCCTCGGGCTAGTTTTGCCTTCTGGGCATTATAATCTATTTAATGCCCTTGGCACATGAATAGCCTCGTGCTCGGCCTTGTGAATAGCTATTCTGAAAAAAAAGGAATTTTTGATTACTGCACACTATGGAGTCTAGTTTATCACACACTATGAGGTGAAGTAACTTTACTGCATAGTGCTACTTGCAACTTACTATCAAATAGAAATAAGTGCGGTAAGGTGCACTTTAATGCACGCTCGTAGGCGAAAAAATAAACACCCTCTGCTACTAGATGATAAATCGCAATACAAAGTTGATCGTATCAACAATGAAGTTCCAGTTTTCCTTATTTTGGGGCCCTAATCAGAAATTCCACTTACCGAAAGTTCCACACTCAAATCAGTACCGTCCAACAGTATCACTTTGCATTGAATCAAATTCTTATTAGCGTGTTTAGAGGAACTTTTCCCGTTGGACCTGCCACCGTCGGCCCCCGCATTCCTGCCCTTCCTGCCACTCAAAAAACGAAACATTATTATTAGGGGGGCCTCGTTCACACTTTGTTTTCTTTTCTAGGTTAGACCGACGCCGTGCACTCCGGTTACGCGACTTATCACATCTATAATTAATCGCGTACCAATTAAAATTAATTAAATAATTAACTGGCTGCTGATCACTACACATTTGCTTTGAATAGACGCCATGTTTATTTTATTATGTTTACTTGTTGACTGCTGAGTGCTGACGTTCGATTGGTGTGCCATCTGTGGGACAGTCTTTGTAACTGCACCTTTGGTAGCTACAGTGGCTAAATAAACCTTTACATACAGTGGCGACAATAGAGGTCTCGCCGCCATTTTGTTCCCAACCTCTCGTTACTTTTAAATATGAATTTATAGGCTTTAAATGAACATCTTTCATAAAAAATTGAAATCGACGTATTTGATGACTATTATTAGGTCCACCAAATACGTTGTTTTCCATGTTTTATGATGGATGTTCACCTAAATTCCATAATCCCATATATTCATATTTGAAATAAACAATAGGTGGGAACAAGATGGCGGCGTTTTCAATATAAATATATGGGATTTTAGAACCAATCAAAAATAAGACAGCAATTGTCGCCACTGTGGGTAATAGAGTCACTGTATTGGTAGCTTGTTAGGTTGCTGTTTTGTGGAGGCGTCTATTACGTAGTTTTGCATGTGTGAAGTTAGCCTAGGGTACAGTGGCCTAGGGTACTTGCATGGAAAATTAAATTGATTATTGTTTATTGCAAACTGTAGGAAATCGAAAAAAAATCGTTACTTTTTTTTTATTCCGCCCAAAAATGATTATTCCGGAAGTTATACAAATATTAAGTTTTTTATATATAGATATACTGTGCATGTGCGACGTCACAACTCACAACGTATTATACCTAAGTAATGACGTCGGTAGGACATTTCAAAGCGTTGTATCTCCGTCAATTTTTGACTAACAAGAAAAAGAAAAAACACGTGTTGACTTATTTTTCATGGACTATCGAAATCAGCAATAAAAAAATTTGATGCAAGGGGCCTATTGAGGAAGCATGCCATCCGCACCAAAACGTTTATTTATACAATGGGTAAGGATAAAACACACTACTACTACTACAGGATAGCCTATCCTCATAAGGCCTGTGTGAAACAAATCTAAAGCCCCCTACCACGCCCAATCACCAGTTGTGACGTAGGCAGCATGTCCTTTTTCGCCTTTACGTAGGCTGTTTACACTACAAGATATGAATGATATGATTCCGCGGGCTTTTGCTTTATGCATAATTGGTTTTACTACATTAATTAACATTCTTGTTTAGATCTCGTTTTCTTCTTCCTCTTTGCCTATTATGTTAATCAAAATTAAATAATATTTTTAACCATAAATTTAAATTCCAAACTACGGCCGCTAGTGCAAACAGCTGACGACTAAGTTATGACGTCGGAAATGGTGACACACCAATATGGCGGCGATAATAAAAAAAAAGGCTACAAGCTAGCTCCTGAGTCCTGGTGAACGTACCCATTTATTTACCTGCAAACAAAGTGCATATCAACATTCAACTGAAAAACCAGGAGCTGTACCACGAGCCCGTAGGGACTGACAAAACTCCTACCTCCTCCTCCTCTACTCCTAGCTGGAGAAAACCAACATGATGGTTTTTCAGCAGCAAAACTTTGATCGTTTTTAAACGCTAAGCAAACAAACTTGCTCCTGGGCACTTTCCAAAATTCACCGATAAATTGGCCGGTTAAATAAACCGGTAGCTATCATAAAATTCCGGTAAAAGTCTGGTGTGTATGTCCGGTTACAAGATTATTCTGCTGCTTTTGGAACGCTGGAATGTGTTGAATTTTGAAGTTTGTTGTTTGTTGTTTGCATTAACCCTTTTCACGTGGCTCCGGTTTAACAAACCGCAACATACCGCTCAAATTCGAGTGGTATTGTAACAGAATTAATAGTAAATTTCAAATCTCGGTTCAAGTACCTACGTATTTCATGGGAATTACCAGAGACGGTTTTTAGAAATAGTTAAAAATTTATCTTAATGGGTTTTACAAACATATGGCGATTCTGGGAACGATAACTAATCCGGCCGAGAATTAAGGGAAAACGCTTAAAGCAAAATGTATCAAGTTTTATTAGTTTTCAAGTCAAAAATAAGCCAAATTGACAAATTTATTAGGCAAAATTATGTGTTCTCCTAGATAAACACCAAAATGTGATTCTACTCTGTAGCTGCACCAGATTACGACATATGTTTGTAATAAAGTATTCAAGAAAGATAATTCCCATGGTTTTATGGCGAACCCAGATGTCAGAGAACTGTTACTGATTCGAAGCATGTGTGTTTGGGCTAGAACAATGATTACGGGTACCAGATTTTCCAAGATAACTGTTACACAAAATTCATTTTAGGCATAAATTAGTATTTAAGTATAGAATAAGTATAGAATAATTTAATTCATTTCACACCTCAACTGTAAATTATATTTTATCATTTTTAACTCTCCGCTGCTATTTTATTTTATAATTAGTTTATTACTGCTCGTCGAACGCCATTTTGTTTTATTAAAATTGCAAGCGAGATAATTAAGCTTCTAAGAAGTATTCTGCTCTATAAGGTAGTCGTAAGAACGTTCTTGGAGCAAAAATACAAAACAGTTTAATGACAAATTTTAATATTGTTTTATAAACGTTTACACAATAATTTCATATGACATTTTAGCTCACCGAACAAATTCAACAAATCAGTTTTATATTAGATTTATATTGGTGTTATCTGATACTAGTTCATTCGTTTGCGAACATCTATAAAATTGTTTTATTAGCGCTATGTGAAACATTTATAAAATTAATTTATTAATATTTTCTTTCGGATATTATTGCTGTCTAAAGCATTTTGCACTCAGATGGAACCTTAAAAAAATTATTATATAATTATCATGAACTCTGTCATATTAAAAGCTATATATAATAATTATAAAACAAAGAAACTGTTTGACTAGGTTAACAGAAGGCATATAGAATGTAGGATTTTCCAATTAAAGGGAAAACGGTAATTTCAGTTATCAAAATTATATTTTGCATATGACTAGCGAACTCTATTGGAGGGCTTTCAAACTATGTCACTAAGGGTGTAAATAGAATGAACAATATGAGAACCAATGGGAACACGGCAAGAAACCAAAGGGTACTTTCCGCGAATCGCTGAAAGCTAAGAGGGTTGGAGATCCTCGATTCTCGCAAGCCCGGTACTGAGAGGAGCCAATGGGCTTCTAAAGTGGTACCCAGAAGGTGGTTCCTTTCGCTTATTTAAGCAGATGTAGAGGCCACATAACTTCAGTTATCGCCGGAAATTGTTAAAGTAAAACAAAAAAACTTAACGAGTTAGTGTTAGTCACAGTCGTCGCTCGATCCGTTCTTCGTTCTTATCCTAAGTTCATCTACCACCCAGTGATTAGTGGAAAGGCTCTCCATGATGTTTCATTTCAATTCAAATTTCTTTTAAAATCTGTTTTTTTTTGTTGTTTGTCTAAATCTTTAATTGGAAACCAAACATTGCCTTCATTAATTTTATTTTTTTCTATTTTTTATTATTCATTCTTTTTTTTAAATAAATTAATTTTTATTCTTTTTAAAAGAAAGGAGTTTTCATTTTTTTGGTGTCATATTGCTTTAATCACTGGTAGTGGCGGAAAAAGTTCTTTCGTGCCGGTTTGTGCAATTGAGGAGGGGAGATAGCAACTTTGGCAATAAAAAGGTAAGTCATCTTGAATTTATAACCCTTTGCACTAACCATAACAGAAGAAGAGAAGAAGTGAGGTTTTTGGTTGAATTATTGCCTCCGGTTCAGAAAATTTGGTATTTAGGATCCTTTTCAGATTAAATTTAATTTACAGCATAATTATGGTACCCACGTAAACTAAGATGTGACAGAATTATTCACGCTACCAAAATGTTTATTCTTCGTAAGATCTCAATTTTGTCACAGTATCGATCACTTCACTTTGTAACCCGGTTAGTTTAAACCGGACCACGTGAAAAGGACTAATGAGGGATGTTTCGAATGTTTGGTGTCAAGGATAATACACATTTAGTCATTTAACATTACTACTAAAGGATAGCCTTGCACTACAGGTTATGATCCGCGAACTTTTGCTTTATGCATACTTGGTTTACTACATTAACTTGTTTGCATTGTGTGTGTGACTAGTTGTAGGCATTTTGATTTTGATTTTGACTCTATTCAGCATAAGCATATTATAACTAACATATTGATCGCCTTTTAGTCATTTTATATGGTATTTTAGCTCTCCAGGACCAATATTTAAAATATTGCTCAGGAGAGTGAATCTGATTTTTAGCATTTAAAAATAATGATAAAATGTACCGTATTCATCAAGCATAATATACACACTACGGATTGCTTATCGGCCTCGTTTTTGGTAATCGCCGCCATATTGGTGTGTCCCTATTTCCGACGTCATAACTAACCTTGCGTTCGGTATTTTGCTCAAAGAGCAGAGCGTGCCGAGTAGAGCAGTAATCACATGACCAACGAGCGAACAGAGCAATTGAACGCTGTATCGGAGAGCCCAAAATTTCAATAAACGAACGCGAATGAGCTTGCACCGAGTACACTTTTCAAATAAACGAACGGTAAATTCAAGCTCGGAGAACTCAGATCAAATTACCGAACGCACGGTAAGGCCGGAGTCTCATGCATCCGTTTTGAAAAATCTTCTATTCTGACATATTTATATACGATTATGTCAGAATAAAAGGTTTTTCGGACATCTTTCGTCGGAAATCGGATGCATGAGACTCCGGCTTACCTTGCGTTCGGTATTTTGCTCAAAGTGTAGAGCGAGCTGAGCGGAGCCGTAATCACGTGACCAGCGAGCGAAGGGAGCAGTTGAACGCTGTATAAAAGTACCGGAAATTTTAATAAACGAACGCGAATGAGGCTGCACCGAGTACACTTTTTAAATAAACGAACGGTAAAGTCAAGCTCGGAGAACTCAGACCAAAATAACGAACGCACGGTTAAGTCGTCAGCTGTTTGCACTAGCGGTCGTAGTTTAGAATTTAAATTTATGATGAAAAATATTATTTTTCTTGAATAATATGCGTAGTAAACATCCATTTTCTATAGATCAATGTAAATGATTG